TATATTTAAAGCCAAGAGTTATAAATGAAGAAAATAACCTAGCTGTTGGTATGAGTGAACACGAGTTCTTACTCCTTATATTTGTTCACAGTGCCTTACCCATGACTTTAGTGAGATACAATTCATATGCTATACAATTCACCCATTTATCATGTGCAGTATAATAGTTTTTATTATTTCATGGAGTTGTGCAACCATCACCATAATCAATTTTAGAATATTTTCATCACCTGCTAAAGATACCCTAGACCCGTTCACATCTGATCCATATCGCCCACCCTAGGTAATGGCAAACCTACATTCTCTCTCCTGGACATTTCATATAAATGGTATACAATATGCAGCCCTTTGTGATTAACTTCTTCCACTTAGTATAATGTTTTCAAGGTTCATCCATGCCATAGTGTATATAAGGACTTCATTTTTTTTCTTACTGCTGAGTAATATTCCATTATGTGGATATATGACATGTATTCATCTGTTCATCAGTTGATGGACATTTGAGTTCTTTCCCTTTTTTTTGTTATTATGAATAATGCTGTCATGAACATTACATTACATTCAGGTACAAGTTTTTGTGTGGCTATAAGGTTTACTTTTTCTTGAGTATATATACCTAGCTGTTGAATTACTGGGTTATATGTTAATTCCAAAACATGTCAAGAAAACCCAGAATATTTTCCAAAGTGGTTGCACCTGCACCATTTTACGTTCCCACCAGCAATGTATGAGGCTTTCAAATTTTCCACATACCCCCCCAAAATACTTACTATTTTACCTTTTTTGAGTATTGTCATTCTTCTGTGAAATGTATCTCGCTGAGATTTTGATTTGTGTTTCCCCAGTAACTAATAATGTCAAGAATCTTTTCATGTGCTTACTTGCCATTTGTCTGGCTTTTTTGCATAAATGTTTATTCAAATCCTTTGCTCATTTTAAAATTTGGTTATTTGTATTTTTATTGAGCTATAAGAGTTCTTTATATAAGACCCCTATCAGATATATAACTTGCAGATTTTTTTTTCTGATTCTGTGGGTTGTCTTTTCATTCTTTTGATTTTTTTTTTTTCAAGCACAAATATTTAAACCCAATGAATCTAATTTATCTATTGTTTCATTTGTGGCATGTGCTTTTGGTGCCCAAGAAGGTTTTGCTTAACTCAAGATCATGGAAATTTGCTCCTATGATTTCTTCTAATTGATAGTTTTACCTTTTACATTTAGACTGTAGATGTCCTTTTGAAGTTTTTATAACAGTGAGAATAAAATGCTTAGAAGAATATCCAAATGAGACAACACTAGAAAAGGTTTACATATGTTATAGTGTTTAAATGGGTAAAATTCTGGACATGCTGGATTCCAGATTTTATTGCTAAGCAGTTTAGATATTTTGCCTTTTTTCCTTTTATAAGCCAATTATTTTATAATTATTAATAATTATTAGTGTATTAATAAATACTTAGTGTATTTCAGGTCCTCTGCAGGCCTTCTCCGGGCCAACTGCCTAAGAAGGTGGGGAACTATTTGATAAAGGAAATAGCACTCCAATAACATGGATGATTGACTTGCTTAGTTTTAATAATAGAGCAACTTTGACATAGAGGAGCTGTAGATAAGTGCATGTGGGAAATTAGAGAAGAACAAGAAAGATATCTAAACAAGGTGATTATAGCCTATATGCCTGTTACATGAAAAATGAGATTAAACTCTTGTTCCATTTTAGGATCATATTCTATGGCTCTGAGTCCAGACCATTATATTTAGGAATGTGTTACTGATTTGCAAACTGTGATTAGCCATTCACTTTTAAATACTTTGAGATCTTTTTTGTTCACTTCTTTAAAAAATAAATCTTACTGTTTATATTCTTTAAATTCCTCATTTGCTTTAGGGACCCAGTACTTTCAGTGTATACCTTCTTTATTATTTTGATGCACAATGTGGTTAACCATTCATATTTAAATGCTTTGGGTTTCTTCAGGACTTTTAAAAAAAAATTCCAACCTGAGTACTGTAAATTACTCTTTGGCTTTAGGTACCCAACACTTGCAATGTGTAAGTTCCTTCTTGGATGTGATGAGATAACAAATTATAAAAAAAAAAAAAAAAAATTAAATTAAAAAAAAGGTTGATATTCAACAACCTTTAAAATTAATCTTCCTCAGAAAAGAAAAGGTTCATTCACTACCAAATTAAATACCGTTTATTAAATTAAAATATGCATTTTTAATTAATAGTGAAAATAAAGTGAAATAACGTTGAGGAGTAAATATTACTTCTATTTATTGAGCTGAAATGTGGTTCTATTAGATGATTGGATAGAAAATGTTAAAGCCAACACCCAAAGGACAACTAAT